ATATTAAATAAAATAATTAATATAATAAAATTAAAATTCAATAATAAACTTATTAGCTTCGGACTTACAATGGTTTCTATTTCCTAGTTTATTTATTTTTAAGATACAAAGGTATCAGTAGCATGTGATTTTATTAGAATATAAATATTCAATTATATAGCTACAAGGTCTATTTAAGTTAACCCATCCATTTATAGCTTTAATCCAATTATATGAATTTATTACTGCAGAAGTGGACCTACATATCAGATAAAATCTTTAAAATATAAAAATATAACTATTAACTTATAAACTATTTAATCTAATCTAGATTCTAAAAATTATTATTAATTATTATTAGAAATGTGTACTTTTTAAAATTGATTAGAACACTTAAATAATTTATTTAATATTTTTCATCTAAGACTTTAAAGAAGGTACTATACTTGTTATTATCATTTGCGACTTTATATTTTGCTTTTTATTGAATTTTCTTATATTAACCAAATACTAGATTAGAATAGTTTCAAGTTAGAGCATTTTTTATGCTATAGAGTTTGTTATGTCAGAAAAGTTTGTAAGCTTTTTGTGAAAGTTAGACCAAAAGTCTTTCCTTATATAACTTTTTCTACTTTGACTTGTTTTCAGCTTGCAATTATCAGAAAGACCAAAGATCCTATTTTTATATAGCCTAACTGAATTTGATCAGAATCCAAATATTTGAATACTTTATATATAAAAAAACTAGTAATTTACATATAGATAAATATTTTGCATTTGCTTTCTGTGAGTATTGACCACTGTATTATTGATTCACAAGTCTATTAAATTTTTTTTCTATTTAGGTTTTATATATAAATATAAATATATATTTTATAATGTTTTTTTGAAATTTTTTTTTAACTTTAAATTAATATTTTCAAATAAATTTATTAATTAAGCATTAATAAAACTTTAATATTATATTATTTAGATTTAAAAAAAAATATATTTGAAATTTTATATTAATTGAATTTTTTTTTTTTAGTAAGTAAATATCATTTCTTTATTTGATTTGTATATAATAGAATATATTGTATATCGTGAAAAAAACAACATCTCTCATATATTGATACTATGGTTTCAAAAATTGAAATCAAACAAAATCACAAAGAATCACATGAGATTCAGAACACTATTAAAAATAATGGTAGAATATATCCCACTTATTAAATTTAATATAAACTTGAGAATCAAATACAGAATCAAAGAAAATTGTTAGAATCCTTAATTGATAAAATAAATTAAATGTTAACTTGCCTATAGTAATCATGTAACTAATATTAAAAAAAAAATTTAAAACAATATATCTTGCCAGATGACATTGAGCAGTTATGAATATCTACTCAATATTAGAAGAAATAGAATTAAAGTTAGCAAATGAGATTGTTAGGTTATCACTTAAATTGTAAGGCATTTTTTTATAATATTTAAAATTTTTTAATTAAAAAGTTACTTTTTATTTATTTTTTAAAAAATCAAAATATTTTTCTAAAAATTTATATAATATTAGTTTTAGTTATATATTATCTATTGATAGTATTTATTTTTTATTTATCTAATAAAAATTTAAAGTTTAATTATAAGCAAAAATTTTAATTTTTTTAAAAAAATTTTTTGATCTTAACAAACTTAAAAAATTTTTAAATTAAAGTTTATATAATTATAATTAGTTTTGTAAAATTATTTGCAAAGAATAACTTTAATTATTATAATTTTAATGATTTAATTATAAAATTTTTAACTTGTATTAGAAGCAAAATAATTTTTACTTTAAATATATATTAAAATTTTAAAAACAATGTTTAAAGTTATTTATTTTGAAATTTTTCAATAAAATTTTAATTTTATACTTAATAAAGTTAATAAAAAATATCTTAAACTATATTTTTTATAATATAAGTAAGTTATAAAAATTAATATTTAAAATTTTATTAAAATTTTTTAAAAACTTATAAAATTTTAAATATATAGGCAAATTTGCCTGCATTACAATTTAAGGAACAAATACATTTGGAATAATTATATTTAAATTGAATAAATAAGTTAGCAATAGTAGAAAGTAAATTGATAATAATGTCTTCTTGTATATTAGAAAATTTTTTAGAAAATTATTTATCAATAGTCAATTAATAATCACTAGTAATTGATTATAATTAATTGATATATATTGATAATAGTGTTTTTTATCAATTAATATACTGTACTTGAAAATAACCGAAAGAAGTGAGTAATACGTAAGAATTTTTAATATTTGCCATTCAAATTTCCCCGGTGTCACATTACATTTGTCATCGAACTTTTGAGAAAATACGTTAAGCTGTGACACAAACAAAGCAGTCATTAGTCAACGTTACGAAACTATTAGATTCAGAAGGCTAGATTCGCGAACAAAAGCTTTCGTTTCGCTTCGAAGTCATAATCTTGTGCAAAGTACATAAAAGTAGAATTTTAAATTGGTACAGTAATGGTATCACGGTAATGTGAGCCAACAAATTCAAAACGTTTATTCCTGTATGAATACAGTAGTATTCTTAATGCATTCATCGTTACGTAATTTTCCAAACCTAATCTGGAACCGGAAATTACTTTTTTTGTAACAATGTGGCTATGGAAAATAGGTATTTATACAACTATCATCATTGAAAAAAACTCGCTCGCGCTAGTTTTCATTAAAACTCCCTTCACAATGCGTCTGATCCTTTTTATAATCCTAGTTCAAGCATGCCTTCAGGTCACTTGCGATTATGGTGATTATGTTACAGTAAAAGGCACGAAATATTTTAAAAGACCCAAGCATGGTAGTATCGCAGACCCCTATCCTTATTTATTAAAAGAAAAATATAAAAAAGGGTTTGATTTCATTGCCATTGGAGATTGGGGACAACGAGGGAAAGGCACCGGTCAACTTCAGGTGGCCGATGGCATGGCGGCCTGGGCTGATAAAAACAAGCCCGATTTTATCCTCAATCTGGGGGGTAAGTTTTTCAATTAATCAATTCTATTATGCATATTGAAATTTGATAAATGTATATATCTGTCGTATCTATTCCTTTCAGACAGTTTCTATCAAACAAACACGAGTCTTCCTGTTACTAATCCAAACGATCACGAAGGAGTGTCCAACATAACTGATCCAAAATGGAAATCCTATTGGCTCGACGCATACGGTGGGAATCTGAAAAAGGTCCCTTGGTATTCGGTTGCAGGAAACCACGATTGGTATAACAACGTTACCGCGGAAGTAGCATACTTTTGGGATGTTGACTGGCGATTTTTCTTACCGTCTCTTTATTACACTCGAAAGGTTTACTTTGGCCCCAAAAACAAATGTGCCGTCTTTATTCATATCGATACTGATCCATTTTTTTATAATTACACGTCTTATAATAATACAAATAACCTAAAAAGCACTCTTCTGAAACTCAATTTGAACGAACCTGATGAAATTCAGCATAAATTAAATTGGGTTGAGAGTGAATTGATTAAGGCTAAGGACGCCGATTGGATTTTTGTCGTTGGTCACCATCCACTGGTCGGTGATTGCCGACTCAAGAATCCCGCGTATTATTTAATGTACCTGTTTCCACCAATTTTCAAAAAATACAACGTGTCTGCGTACTTCAACGGTCATGCACACGACCTTTCATATTCGGAAGCAAATTCTACATCACCCACTTCTTATTTTGGTTCCGGTGGTGGTGGCGCTGTGCTTGGTGCTGGTTGCGCAAATTCAACCTGGGCTACTCCCTATACCTTTGGATTCTTGCATGCTAAGATGTCCGATGATGGTGAATCTTTGTCCTTCGATTTCGTTGCCACGAATAAAACAGACGCTCCACCAACGATCCTCAAATCAGGAAAAATCTACTCGCGCAAACATAAGCCATGAATTGTTAAGAGTACAGCATATGGAAGATCTGCTATCTCGCGCTAGATCGATCATTTCCTTGAGATTGACACGTACAAAAAAATTTATGTAAACCTCAGAGTATTCAAAAGGCATTTAGCGTAAATTATTAATTTCTTCAGCCCTATATGATCATGTGGTTTAGTCGTGGCACTATTATTTTTAATTTTACTATATTCCGCAATTTTTAATTTCCGAATCTAGTAATACACGTCGTGTAGAAGTACTGTATCTTATGTAATAATTTATTTGAGTGCTCATGTTTGACCTAATAAAGTAATAGTTATTTTTTAATTAAAAATCAGGTTCCAATTTCTTCTTGACAGATACAGTGTGATGTTTCCTACCGATCATTTCTGAAAAAAAAAATATTACTGTATGTCAATATAATAAAAATAATTGTTCGATTTATTGTAAATGCAATTATAAAAAAAATTTTTATTCTTTTATTAAATTGTATTAAGCTTATAAAAAACTCATGAATTTATTCTAATTACGTATATATAAAATTAATTTTTTTTAATATGATATTGTTACGGAAAAAAGTGATGGGTAAATTATAGGAAATTGTAAGGGTAAGTATAATGATAAGTATATTAAATATAATATATATAATATATTAAATATATATAAATAGAAAGAGGAAGATCAGATCTTGTAACAAGTTCTACTCGCGTAATAAAGATTGTCTTTCTTGATAAAG